TCGAAGCAATGGGTGTTAGGTCTAAGAGAAAGAATTACGGGAAGATTAGTAGCTACCGTGATCCCAGATCGAACGGCCGAAACACTTATCTCAACTATCCAAAAATACGTGAAACGCAGCTCAGTGATGAATAGTGATTGCTGGTCCGGGTATGTGGGATTGGCACTACCTGATTACCAACATGTTAGGGTCAACCACAGATTCCAGCATGTGAATTTGACCAATGGAGCTCACATCCAAGAGGTCGAGCGAGCGCGGAGGGAGTTCCAACGACCAGAGCTCCGGGAAGTTATCTACGTTTTGATCCAAATAATTATAATAACTATCAAAATCGTTTGAAGGGCGTTTGCAGGTATATGATAGATCAAAATTGACATTTTTTAAACTTAATTATTGAAAAAAATTAAATATCTTGACGGAAGTTAGCACGTTCATTTTTGTAATTTTGTGTTAGAATCTTCAATGACCGACTAAACGATGGAGAATCGTTTGCAGGTGATTGATAGATGACTATCAGCCTCCGATCTCCGATCAACCAATTAGGAATTATTAATGAAAAACCGTTTTGGAGTCATTGTGAATGGATCAGGGGGCAGAAGAGAGGGGAGGCCGCCATGCTGTATCCAACTGCTGGCTACTTGCATTTTGGAGCACGCGCGATTTTAGACTTTATAGGTATTTCGATTGCCATTGTGTTTCAGCACTGTTGCTCTAAAATTTAGAGCAGCAGTGCTGAAACACAATGGCAATCGAAATACTTATTGATTTATTCAATTCAGTGTACTCAGTCAGTGTTTTGACCACAAGGATAATTTGATTGAATTTTAATAATTTAATCCACGAAAATAAACGTATTTCATATGTTGTTTATTCATTTATTAAAAACTGCTAACTAAATGAGTCAAACTTCCTGCGAATCAACTGATCATTCCTGGTTTCAACTACGGTGCGCACGCGCAGATGATTTAACTAGTCCAAACCATAGTTTGACAAAACGATTGTTTACCAATAATTCCTAATTAGATGGTCGGAGGAAGCTAAACGTCATCTATAAATCACCTACAAAAGATCCTGCATCATTTAATGGGTCAGTGAATATTCTAACGCAAAATCTACAACAATGAAGGTGCTAACTTCCA